AAAGTAGCAACGAGTCTAGATCTTAGAAAACATTCCTGTCCAAAGGCAAGAACTAAAGAAAATGCCAGCTTTCTCTTTAATTGCGTTAAATTTACAGAAGATAGGCTTACACTTTAATCCTCCCACAGCCTTGCTTATACAGCAAATGAATGACTTTTCATACTATGAGCAGAAAGGTGTGGGTTGGAAGGGAAACTAGTATAACACTACTAACATCTCAACTTGCAAATATAAGTATTCTATGCTTTTACATAAATTAAAAGGAAGGATCTCACTCATGAGGCTTATTAATGATTCTTGCTATAATCTCAAAAGCAACCACCTTCATAATTAATGCATTATAATATTTGTTTTAATGGGCATTAGCAATAGCAGTTTTGACTTTAAAAGCCTGAAATATTGGTCTTGACATTGGCTGACTCTCCAGAGATGTGCAGAGAACTCAGATCTGAAGAGCTCAGGGTGCTGTCATCTTCTCTACTGCAGATGAGGAGTAAATTCCTTAAATCAATGGTCTTAAGATCAGTATAAAACTGTTGTAAGTAGGAAAACGAACAGGCACTACCCAACTTTAAAAATTCACTGCTAGAATTTTAGAAGAATCCAGGCAACACAGGTAACAAGCAAAGCTGAAAGTCATCTGCTTGAAAGACACATCTTCCAGATGTCTGTCACACAGGAAGACCCTCTAGTCGTACCATAATCCACAGCAATCTCCCATATAGTTATTTTATTGTGTTGCCCACAATCATTTAAATTCTTTGTCACATTTTCCTACATAGAACTATGGGCCATATGTAAAAACAACAATCCTGCCGTTCAGTGGCAGTGTGGATTTTGCACATACAGCAAATGCAAGGGGAATTCTATCCTAGAGACGCTTCTCACCCTGAAGCACTACTGAAATTGGTCCTGCAACCTATTCACTCTGTCCCCAAAATCACACTTGCTCTTACCGTCAGCTGCCTAGGATCTTTTTTGAGGGTGGCTGTTTGAGAGCATAAATCATCTGAGGATTTATTTTAAAAGCCAGCACTTACAAAAGGATAAAATTTATCTGAGAAGGATCATATGGCGTGAAAATATGAATAGAGAAGTTGCTGGTTTTGGCTGGGGTAGTTAATTTTCTTCATAGTAGCTTGTATGGGGCTCTGTTGAATTTGTGCTATGAACAGAGCTGATAATACAGGGTTGTTTTCATTACTGCTGAGCAGCACTCAGAGTCAAGGCCTTTTCTGTTTTTCATTTTAATGCCACCAGCAACCAGGCTGGGGGTACAGAAGGAGCTGGGAGGAGACACAGGCTGGATAACTGGCCAAAGGGATATTCCATACGCTATGATGCTGTGCTCAGCATATAAAGCTGAAGGAAAAAGGAAGGAGGGACATTGGAAATGATGACGTTCATCTTCCCAAGTAACTGTTACGTGTGATGGAGGCCTGCTGTTCTGGGGATGGCTGAACACCTGCCTGAATTCCTTGTTTTGCTTTGCTTGCATGTGTGGCTTTTGCTTTACTTATTAAACTGTCTTTATCTCAACCCTTGAGTTTTATCACTTTTACTCTTGTCATTCTCTCCCCCATCCCACCTTAGGGGAGTGAGCAAATCACAGAATACCAGAATCACAGAATCCCAAGGGTTGGAAGGGACCTCAAAAGATCATCTAGTCCAACCTCCCTGCAAGAGCAGAGTAACCTAGAGTACATCACACAGGAACTTGTCCAGGCAGGCCTTGAATATCTCCAACGTAGGAGACTCCACAACCCCCCTGGGCAACTTGTTCCAGTGCTCTGTCACTCTCACAGTAAAGAAGTTTTTCCTGGTGGTCACATGGAACCTCCTATGCTCCAGTTTACACCCATTTCCCCTTGTCCTATCACTGGACATCACTGAAAAAAACCTAGCTCCATCATCCTGACACTCACCCTTTACATATTTGTAAACATTGATGAGGTCACCCCTCAGTATCCTCTTCTCCAAGCTAAAGAGACCCAGTTCCCTCAGCCTCTCCTCATAAGGGATATGTTCCACTCCCTTAATCATCTCTGTGGCTCTGCACTGGACTCTTTCAAGCAATTCCCTGTCCTTCTTGAACTGAGGGGCCCAGAACTGGACACAATATTCCAGATGCAGCCTCACCAAGGCAGAGTAGAGGGGAAGGAGAACCTCTCTTGACCTACTAACCACACCCTTTCTAATACACCCTAGGATGCCATTGGCCTTCTTGGCCACAAAGGCACATTGCTGGCTCATGGTCATCCTCCTATCCACCAGGACCCCCAGGTCCCTTTCCCCTTCACTACTTTCCAGCAGGTCAACCCTCAACCTGTACTGGTACATGGGGTTGTTCTTCCCCAGATGCAAGGCTCTACACTTGCCCTTGTTGAATTTCAAGTTTCTCCCCACCCAACTCTCCAGCCTATCCAGGTCTTGCTGAATGGCAGCACAGCCTTCTGGTGTGTCAGCCACTCCTCCCAGTTTAGTATCATCAGCAAACTTGCTGAGGGTACACTCAGTTCCCTCATCCACGTAGTTGATGAAAATGGCTGTGTGGGGCTTAGTTGCTGCCTGGGGTTAAATCATCAGAGATGATGATTTAACAGGTGATACTGTACCTCACCCAGTATTGGAGAGAAAGCAGAGGTCATTAGCAAGAACTGATCATTTTCCTTGCAGATTTACAAGTCCCAGCCTTTCAAGAGAGAGTGCAAGAGCAGTCATCAAACCAGCGCTGGTTCACATCACACCTTTGGTCCACATTTCATCATCTACTGACAGCACCGGAGGGTGAAGTTTCCATCTCTTCCACAGTGGCATTTTCCATAAATTCTATAGAAAATTTCTGAATTTTTACTTGTAGAGACACTGCATCTAAAAGGGATTTGGTGGGCGTATATAATCCTTTTATTCCTTCCCTCTGTGATGCACAGCTGGGCCTTAGGGAGTTTGACATCTCTGAAGTACACATATGCCTGAAGACCTGTTCTAGCTGACATCAAATACATGCTACATTATGCACAAACCAAATTACAGATCCAGTAATACCTGAATGAACGGACAGAAATCTGACACTTGAAAGCGAGTCTTCGCTCCTTGAATCAAAATATGCCGAACAGCTGGAAATGCTTCAAACTTCTGAGGAATGTTACTCTTCTCTTTGCTAGTCCAGAGTTTCTGACATGGGTGTCTCCTTGCTAGAATAAGGTGGTAACAGAAGATATATTTAATGTGAAAGCCATTGCAGCCATGAGGCAGGAGTATAATCATTATAAAATATACACTGAGAACTGACAACACACTGTACAACCACAGTACACACTTAGGATTTAAAGTCCTACTGCAGGGTGGATGAAAGCTACTAAGTCACTACCTATCTTGAGGAGAGCATTACCCGAGATAAATTTATATATGCTTATGCCAAGTTCAGCATTTTTCTCTCTTTTGGGGAGGTGCATTAGGTAGAATTTTGGTAAGTCACACAAAAGGCAATGGCAATGCTTAAGTCCAACCAATTTTTGAAAATTAAATAAAACCTCCCAACTAAAAGCAAGTGCAAAGTGTGTTTTTTTTCCCCAAAACAAAAAAGGTCTGTTCGACTTACAAATGTGGAGTTCCCATGCAGACCGGAGTCTCTACCTCTTCCAACCCCATCTGAAGAAGATGCTAGCAGCAGGTAGTTCAGCTTCCTAGCTGGACAGGAGGAGTGGGCGGGTGATCACAAAAAACCCCAAACCGACAACGAAAAATAAGCAAAAAAAGAAAAAAAGAACTGAATCATAAAAGTGCAGTTGCATCTGAGGTGAAACCCCCCACATCTCGGTGAATCACCCTGAGCTCCCATGGCTCCCGTCCGGCTCCACACAGGGGAGCAGAAGGGAAGGCAGAGAAGGGTGCACCCCAGCGCCCCCCGCCGCGCCACCGGCAAGCCCGCACTCCTCCCCCCGCCCTTGCCGGCGACTCCTCCCTCGCGGCCGTGGCCCCCTCATCCCGCCGGGGCGGGACCTGGCACCCTACAAATTCGCCGCTCCGGCGGGATTGCTTGTAGGGCGGTACGGGGGAGTTTTGTAGAGGAGGGTTCTTAGCTGTTCGCGGAGCTTCTCCTTGGGGAGAAGGGAAACTTCCTCGGCAGGGGGGAGGTAGAGGAGCCACGCTCCTACCTCGCGGCTCCGCCTGCCCTTTTCCCTGGCCGCCGTCCCGTCATGTCCCACCGCGGGGCTCCTCGTCCCTAGTTCCTGTCCAGCTGCCTGCCTAGCCTCTCAGAGCTTCTGCTGCAGCCTCCACGGGCGAGGGGGCTGCTTCTCCTGGCGCCGGTCACCCTCCTCCCGGCTGTGCCTGGAAATGGGGGTGTCGTGCCTATGCCGCCGGGGCCGCAGCCCGGAGGTCTCGGGAGTGAAACTTTGTCGGTACTGAGGGGCGCGGCCGGCCCGGGCCGGTGGGGCGGCCGTGAGGACAGGGCTCACGCTGCCCTCCCTCGGGGCGGCGGCTGGGCACCGACCTGAGGAGCCGGGAAAGTTTTGTTCCGCGGAGCAGCTGCTCGCCCGTCCGCCCGCCCACAGCTGCCTGACTGCCGTTTCCCCCTCCGCAGCTCCCGGCGGCCCGCGGAGCCCGCTGCTATGGCACCCGCCCGTCGCCGCGGGGCGAGCAGGGGGAGGCCGCCTCCGGCTGGCCGTGCAGAGGCGGCGGGGGGGCGCGCAGTCCCCGGTTGGCGGGCGTCCTCCTCCGGCTGGCAGTGATCGCCCCGGCCCCTTTGCCTGCCTGTTCATCATGCCTACCCCCGCCCGCGTCTCGCCGAGGACGGTACCGGGGAAGGGCAAGGGGAGCCGCCGCCCTGTCACTCCCTGAGACAGCCGCCGCCTCACCGGAGAAGCCCCGTGTGGTACGGGTGCCGCGCAGCCCCGCCGGGCGCGGAGGGCTGCCGATACCTCGCGCCTCCCCAGAGGTAAGCGGCGGGGCGGGGGGTGTGTGTGGAGAGGTCCGCCCGTCACCCCAAAACTTCAGCCCTCCCACAGCCGGCCGGCAGCGGAGGGGCTGGGCCGTGTCCGTTCCTGCCGGTGGCGGGGAACGGGGAGACACGCCCTTGCTTGGGGCGACTGGGGGCAAGATGCGGGCTGGGACGGGTAGGTGGGCTTTGCCCTGCCAGAAACGGACTTTCTGCCTCCGAGCGGCGCGGGCTTCCACGCTCCGTGCGGCTGCTACACACCCTCTTTTGTCTGCTCTCCGCTCCGAGGTACTTTACGCGCTGGCATCGCCTGACCGGCCGGACGGCAGCCCTGCCCTGCAGAGAAGCTGCCCCAGTCTTCACCCCCCTTGCTGCTCCCGCCCCGGCGGTTTCCTCTTTGCATAGAAGTTGGGTTTTCCTTAACCTTTGTTTGAGGAAAACATGGTGGTGTGCTGGTTATCTGGATGGATGAGAGGCAGATGGGGACTACAAGGGGGTTGCCCTGTTCCCTTGCTTTTAGAAATAACTCGCTGCTAAATAAATCGGCTGTCGGCTAGACATCAGCTTACTGGTGAGGCAGACTTTGAAGCAAAAGTACTGCGAACAGCTTGGGTGCGTGATACATGCGTCTCATACCTTCCTAACATAACCATTGTTGGTGCTTGTGCTTCAGTTCAGTATGCGTGCAGCTGTTCTGCAGATCTGGGGCTGCAATAGCTGCATCTACTTAACACTTAAGACTGTCATTAACCGCTGCTACTCTATTTTATGCAGTGGTTGTGAAAAATAAAACTGGTTTTCCTGTTTAAAGGCAAAACTACTCAGGCGAAAGTGTTCCTCTAGTGTAGCGTTCTATGTAATATGAACTACAAAATAACCTGTAGCAGTGTAGTGGACTTGCACTTCAGAGTGCTTTTAGGGTACAAGGACTATACCTTTCAATTAAATTCTATCAGCAAAGGTTTTGCCTTTTGTGGTTAACCCTGGTGCTAGGTTAACTACCAACTGTTCCGTTATTTTTCTACAAGGAGGTGGTACTTCCAGTCCATGTGGTGGAAATCAAGTAAGTGTCCAGATAGAAAGAAACAGTGCAATTTTTTTTCTTTAGTTGTTTCTGTGTTGCTTTGCAGAAGGTGTGTGGGGGGGGGGAAAAAGCCCGTTTATATCAGAAAATTATATTTCCATTGAATATGATTTAAATTACTTGATAATTAAGCCAAAGGGTCTTTCAGGTTTGGAACATTTTAATGCACCTCTTCTGTTGCCAGGAAATGTACTTTTAGCATAATACTTGCTAGAAGATAATTATAAGACAATTTTTAGTAATTTGAAACATGAGTTATAATTAGATTTTTGTCCTGAGCCAGAAAGACACCCTCATGGAAAAAGGTATGTGGTACTTTAGTAATTTGGAAAATAAAACCCTATATAATTTATATTTTGTCAGCATAGAAACACATTTTATTTGTTGCTCCTTTGTTGGATTGCAACAATGATCCAAATGAAAGTTGGAAAAAAGACTACGGATGCAAGAGTTCAGCATATTAGAATTATTTTATTCCATAGAAAGAAATGGTTTTGCCCAATACAGCCTTGCTGGAATTGTAACAGAATTTCATTTTTATTGAAGCTCAGTCATCACATTACAAAAGTTGGGCTGTCTGAATTTAATCCTATGAACTATGGACTAAGCAAACTCTGAGAAAGTACTGATGTGTGCTGATGCTCAAGCAGGTACGTATTTCCAACCTCCAACCCTAATGATCACCTATGGTGCAAGTACATTGCACATAGCAATAGGTCCTAGTAACTTCAGTGAAACTTTTCACTGCCTTAACTGCATTTCTGGACTTTTCCTGGACCAAGCAGTTTTTCAGCATGTTCTGCTCCAATTTCCATGAATGCTGGGCATATGACACAGACTACCTATGCCATAAGCAGATGCTCAGCTTGGCTACATCTCACAGATTGCATATTCTTGATTGACTCCTACCTGTCCAGGGGCAAAAGGGGAAAATGAAAAGTGAAAATTGGTTAAGGAGTAAAGTGCATGTATGGAAAAGCAGGAGGAAACTGCAACTTCTTGTGCCTTGTTCAGTGTATTTTAAGAGCCAAAAATCTGAAATGCTGAAAATCAGTGAAAACTCCTACTGAAACTGCTGAAACCAGACAAAGTTATGATATAAAAAACCTGAAGCTTAAAGGTTGCTGTCATCATTTTTGTTTTTTTTTTAACAGAAGAATGTTGTCAGTCTTGTCTATGATAATGGTAGGGAATGTATTAGAAGTAAGAGGAGCTTGATATCCTAGCTTGTGATGATGCGTCCATTTGATTGGGTGCCATTATACTTTATAAGCAGATCAGTTACTTTTAGTCTACACGTTTGATCTTGTGATACTGGAACAAAGAGGAAATTGTGAATAATTTTCTCGTGTGCAAGATTAGAGAGTAAAAGTGGGGTTAATTCATTAAATCATAGGCATCTTGTGCCAATTTAGACACTCTTAAGGTGTTTCAGACCTATGTATGAGGCTGGCAAACAGGGCCCAAGAAGAGCCCAAACACTTCTAGAAAGGTAGATGAAGACGAGGAGGAATATCCTATTAGGAAATGGTTGTACTACAGTTCTACAATAAAAACCTTTAAGAAGACTTGAACCTGTTCTCTGAAACACTGTTGTCAAGATTTTTGATGCAGCAGAGTATGATAGATGTGGGAAGACATCCTAAACATGACATTGCTATCAGGATTTAGAGAAATCCATTCTGGATACCCACCATCAGAATCCTTGTGTTACTTCTGTGCTGCTAACTGGTTACTGCCTTTGCGTTACTCAAATATACTAACCAATTGTTTAAGAATTGGAAATCTTCTTAGAGAAGCTCGATACTTATTTTAAAATAGAACTGTGTATGCTTTCCAAGCAGACTAGAAATAAGAGGAAATCACAGACAGTGCTTCAGTTAGTGCTGTATTTTTAGTTAGTACTTTAGTTTTAAAATAAAAATATTGTAAGGAAAAGTTTCTGCTTTTCTTCTTTACTCACTAACACAAAACCCCAGACAATCTCTGGGTAATAAGGTAATAAGTGGACTATCAATTGTGTGGAAAGGTGAAATGCTGACAACCTCAGTGAATTAAACTACTGAACAGATGTTTTGCACATCTGTTATCCTACCCACTAGTTAGATTAGCTCCTGGGTGTCCACTTTTTGTGAAGTTTGTGAGAATAAATGCTGTTCTAAACTTCCATGTTGAGACTTCAGTGTAACTGTGCAGCATGAAGTTGTTACTCTATTCCACCATTAACCATTTATACATGCCACAATAATGGTGTATATATGTAATTGCTTTTCACAGACAGGAGCAGCTCAAGTAGACCTGATGACTGAATTTAGTACTGAAGTAGTCAGATTATACTGGTCTCTTTGTATAAATGGGATTATATTCTCTTTACCAAACTTTATTACAGGATTAGTAATTTTAAACTTCATGCCTTTGCCTGGGTGCCTTTTCTTAAAAATCAATTTTATCTTTTTTTTTGTACAGCTAACCAAATGAGATGGATATCTGTAATACAGAGCTACTTGAAACCTTTTATCTGCAGCAGTAGCAGAACATGTTTGTATCACTCAGTTTTCATATTTTGGTCTTTTGGTGACAGAAATATTAAAAGGAGCACTTAGCATTTTTTGAAAAGAATGACCAGAAGACCTGAGAAAGAAGAGTTGTTTTTTTTGTTGTGGTTCAGTAATCTCCTCTGCTCTTCTGTGTTTCATGCTGGGGAAGGTTATTGTTCTTTTTTTTCCTCCATGTTTCAGTACCTAAAAAAAAGAGAGATGGGGAGTTGCAGGGCTACCTTACCAAAAGTGGTCATCTGAGGAACAACATTAGTGAGAAGTAATGATGTAGCAGAGATTTTCAGGAAAACAGACATGTGTAAAGTGAAACAATGAAGTACCTTTTTGTGTATAAAGTCTCTGGAAAGTCTTAGAAGACAGTTGCCACTTTACTCTTGTGTGCATTTATACAAATGTTCTCATTATTTATGTCCCACTGGAATTTTAGTCAGTTGTTCCTTTTGTTGGAAGTGTGACCATTTTCCTCCAACTAAAATAAGTAGAAACAAAAGACTTTTTTTTTGCATTGATTTTTAATTCTGTCCCACTGAGCGAAACAATGAAACTCTCATTGAATCAGAGAAACTAGGATTTTGTCACTTCAATGAAAAACACTTTAGGTACATACAATAATCAAACAGATTTTAAAAATCACGAGAGGTATAAAATATAGCTTAGGTTACTTTTCAGGGAAACTAATTTAAAGATGAAGAACTACAGAGGAAGAGGAAAAAATGTGGTTTTATATGAATTGTTTTTTTTCTTTGCTGTTTCACAAGTACAGTTCATTGCACCCAGGTGCAATGGTTTTTAAGCCCATCAACAAAAAGTGCTAAAATTTGAGCCTGTTGAAACTGCATACTTTTGTAATTCACTCTGTCTGGAAAGTGAGAAAGACATTTTCAATGAAGCATTGATGCAGTTGGACACTGATAGCCCGTGTGTGCTGCCAGTTGGTTAGCGGGGCTTAATTTTTTTAACTCAACATGATAGGGGTTTATAGTTTGATACCTCTAACTTATGCTGGGATCTGTAGCCTTAGCTCAGAGAGTGGATATAAAATCAAAACAAGCTTTTTACATCTATACAATGATAGTCATGCTACTTTTTTCCAGTAAAGGGCAGAATTCCAAAAGTACTTTTAGTTTTTGCCAATATAAACCACCTTCAAAGCAGATTAATTGGAAGCAGTTAAAAAGCTTCACTTTTTGCATGAAATTTGGTGTGTTAGTGGTAACAGAGCACTGGAACAGTTTGCCCAGGGGGGTTGTGGAGTATCCTGCGTTGGAGATATTCAAGGCCTGCCTGGACAAGTTCCTGTGTGATGTACTCTAGGTTACCCTGCTCTTGCAGGGGGGTTGGACTAGATGATCTTTTGAGGTCCCTTCCAACCCTAGGGATTCTGTAATTAGATTTTTTTTTTTCACACTCTCTATCTAAATGTTCCTGAATAAATGGTAAATGGCTCCACTTATCTGTAACCAGTTGCCTATTGTTGAAGAACAAGTTTGTATCATATTAATTTTATTACTTACATTTTCCTATGTATTAAATAAAAAAAAAAAAGGTGCTATTACTTGTCCACCCATTTAGTTGCAGGTGTAAAATTGCAGCTGAAAAAGCACTGAAGTTTTCTCTCTCCTTTGTGTAATTCAAGCTAACAAAAGCATGTCACATATTAAAATACAGAGGAAATACAGAAGAAGGTAGGTTGTAATGAAAAAAAAGTCCTATTTTTGTTATTATTGAAAATCTTCTACCTATGATTTATTAGGGTTCAGTGTGCAAGAAACTGCAGATAAATCAATAGCTCTCAGAGTTATTAGGGTATCAAACTATTTTCCTCTGTACTGGAAAAACTCATAAATTGAGAATTACATTTCCTTTGTAGTGCTTGCTGTTCTTCATACAAGTTGGCAGGATTGCCAAGTAAGTGTATTCTAGTTTAGCAATTGACTTGATCTTATTACCTGTATTTTTAGATATGATCCTTTCTCTGCAAAGACACAATCTTTTACTCAAATGTGAAATTTGGGATGTATTGACACTGTACATGAGATGTACACTGTACATGAGATGCACATTGTATGTGTTCCTTTATGAAAAGGGATGAAGGCAACATCATGTCTTGGGGCAGCATTTTGCTGCAGCAGACTTGCTTTCCTGAGGAAGTGTTACTTGGACACAGTGTACATATCTTAGCTGCTGTAGCTTCTCTTTTTTGCATTATCTTGTGCTAGACAGTCTTGGTGCATAAAGTATGAGGCAGCCCACTGGACTCCTAAGAGATGCACCGTGGAACTATGCTGTTCTGGAGACACGGGTGTCATGGTAGGGCTGTTGGAGGTCAATTGAGACACTGTCTGAGACTTGGCAGTTGTGTACTTCTTGCTATGAACTACTGTGTATTTAACAGTTAACTTGTTTCACCTGAGGTGTGACTTTATTTCTGTAGGAAGAAGTTAAATTACATAGACAAAAAACAAAGAAGAAGGGAGGCGGGGAAGGGAAAGTGGAAAATAGAGCAAATGGCAAAAACGAAATATTGAAGAAAGGGGAAAAAAAACCAACCAAACAAAAAACAAAGGGAAGGCAGAAAAAGGATGAGATACAGCAAGTTGCAGTTGTAAAGATGAAAGTTGTTTATAACACTGAATGTAGCTAATGAATAGAATAGTAAGACCAAAAGATATGGTAGTGTTTCTTTTTCTTTTTTTTTTTTTTTAAGCATTCCTATCTTTTGACTTTGGAAAATTAAGAGAGTAATTCTTGTCTCTCTAAGATGCATTTTAAATTATTTGTCTTTGTTGTGTATCAAAGAATGATGATCTGCAAAAATGATGTTAAACACTGCTTACAGAAGTTACACTTGTATGCAAATCAGTTCAGACATATGAAAGGAAAGGCAGCGAGGGAGTATAGTTTGCTTATGAATATAGAAACTGGATTTTGAAGTGCTTGCAAGTTAGGTGAGCTGTTGTTTCCATTTGCAAACAGCTTAATACTCTGAACTCAGAAGTTACTACCATGCAGATCTATGTAATCTGTCATTGTCTCACAGAAGACTAGCGAGCACAATAAGCACACTGGAGACTTCCTTCAAAATGGTGGATAATTAAGTGACATTTATCAAATGAATACTTGGCTACTTACCATACTTGGCACAGATTTATCTTTCTGATACATGTTAGCTATATCTGTGTTAGGATACTAATGAAGCAAAGTTGTGCTCTCCGGCCAGAGTGAGCCAGAATGGTCTGGCTATGTGCAGGTATTAAACCATCTTTGAGTTGATCACATCCCAACTGCTTGATTGGAAGGAGCTTCTCAACTAAAGCAGCTAAATGCCTGAGAAGTGCTAGCTGACTTTAGCCACAGATGCTCTGGCATCCTTCTGATAGTATGAAAGAGACATGGTGGAGTCCCACTGCCTGGGCCCACATGCAACTGGTACTGGGTACTAGATCCATGATGTGTTAAAATGATTTTCCACCTCAGCCCAAACAGTCTTATTACAATAATTCTAATACACTTGGATTTGAAATAGAAGTAAGATATTAAAGTTATGTTTGGAAGCCACTATTTGCTGTAATTACATTTAAACAAATCTGATGTAAATTTTCTATCTCAGTAGTAACTTTGGTATTATGGAAACTGGAATATGGAATATTATATTTGGATATACAATGTATGTGGAATTGGTGGAACATAATGGGACATCATAATCCTAAAAGGCTTACAAGAGATTTACCAAACAAACACAGACTTGCACATGAAATAAATCTCTAGCTTGTCACAATTATTGGCCTGGTAGTAATTGCTAACCATTTTTGGACCAGGCTAATATTCATAATAAACATCCAGAGGCCTCACAGATGCTTCTTATGAAGTAATGGCTTGGCTATTAATACAGTTTATAGACTTTAAAACAGTAGAATCACTTTGCATTAATTGAGTAACAAAGTGCTTTCCCCAAACCCTTCTTATGACCCCTGCAAAATGTTTGCCTTTGCTCTTTGCCAGGAAGAAATTTCTTTTCAAATTACTTCACAGACGCCTATTCTGAATTTATTGCCATTCTTTTTCTAATTCAATTTTATCCTCCTAGGACATGGCCTCATTAATTGGTGCCTGTGGTGGAATACCTTCAAGGTCTTACATACTTTGCTGGAACATAGTTCAATAGGCTATATTGTATTAGAAAGACACAAGTCATACCAATGACATTACACACAGAAGCATTTAAAAACTCCGGTTTGTAATTTTTCGTTGTCCTGTTGGCTGTAAAGTTTAAATGGGAATGGAAAATAGGTTATAGCCGAGACTGTGATTATTTTTTAGTTCTTAATGTTGTGAATGTTTTCTTTCAGTTAGGTTTTTATGTTTATTTTCCAGTGGGATTTGGAGGTTATGACTAGATGGTATTGTATACATTATATAAAATTCCTGTAAAAGAGCTAAGTTTGTCACAACTCAGGGTTGCACTGTGAGAAGCTGGGCTCAGATGAACTAGTATAGCTTTCTGGCAATGTTTTCTAGATAACTTTACCAATGTATTTTTGTGTTGCCTTCATAGCAGTTCATACAAATACATTATTATTGTAATTTGTGCCATGACTTCATGACATGTGAAATTCATTGTTTTTCATACTTTAAAGAATTCTGGGATACTTAATCTTTGCTTTTACAGCTATTTTTGTCAGTGTGCATGTTACTAGGCATTTACCCTGTGTTTGGGAAGGCAAAGTCCAAAGGGGAAACTGGAGCAGAAGATTGTCTGTGTGATCCTTAGTTTCTGCAGTCCCTCCTTCCAGAGTTTAGACCTAGTCTCAAGGACAACTTTTGTACAGACTATTCCGATTGTTACTAGGCACACTTTCATTTTGAATAAGGCTTGTCATCCATGTTTTTCAGCTTTGAGCTTAGGGGGTAATTTTCAGCCCAGAATATTGAGTGACTTGGAAATAAGCCTAGCACATTGCTTATGACTCCTTGAGAAGCCGGTATCGGCATCACCCTCAAGCTAACTATGCTTTTGTTAAACTTTGTGGCTGAAGGGATGGACTTCAGAATTCGGTTCCAACCTTCTGTCCTAATCTAGCTGTTCCCACTTTACAGTTCAAGAAGCACCTACTGAGAAAAATGGGGAGGAAAAAAGAAATGAAGCTCCAGTACAGCAAACTGTGAATTCAGAGGTGGAGAGGCAGAGAGACAGGCTGGTAAACTAGTCTGACACAGAGATGGTCCTGTGAGAGGGTGCTGTTGTTATGGAAATTTGGGTTGGAAGATTTTTCTGATGTGCTCTGGCATTAGTCGAGGATGTTGCCTTTTGACAGTGAGGCTTTGTCTGGGAATACCCATATTCCCAACAGCATGTGGTTGAAACACTTCTAATACCTGGGGGCTTGGAGATTCCTAGGCTAGACTTGGTGCTTTGAGGTCTGGATAATGTTTGTTGTGTTGATTCTTCTCTTGCTTTATATTAACAATACTGTTACGCCTAACTGCCTGCATTTGATTCAGTTGCACACATTCAGTAGCTCTGTGCTGCTCAGAAAACTCTGAAACTGACGGAGTTTATTACACTTTTCTAAAAAATTGTAGGCAAACTGTTCACTCCTTGACAACTGCAGGACTGTGAATATAATGATACGAAAGCAGATGGTAGCTAGAGAGAAAGATAGGTCAGTAGCATAGCAGCAACCACAAACATTGATTATTCTGTAGGGGCAAGACTGTATTTTTGCAAATAATGTCTGAGACAAGTAGTAGGGAGACTCTTATGTAAATAACTGGAAGTATGAGCATCGGGTCTAGAAGCAGTAGCGTGACTAGAAGTATGTGTGGCATTAATATAATAACACTGTTTTCCTTCTTGTCTTTCAGTAAATCCGTAAGGAATAATGAAGCGAGGCATTGCCATTTGCCATGGTTAAAAATTTAGAAAAGATGTGGTGGGGTAACACTGGAGTTTTCAGCAGTGACAACAGACTTTGACATGCATCAGTAAAAAGGTCCTAGAAAAGGGGTCTCATCTGCTGTTGTGCCTTACTATTTTCCAGAAGCTTGTGGCTTTTGAAGTCTTCACAAACACTCAACTTGAAAACTTCTCTAGTAACAGATGCACTGTACTGAAAGTTTGCCTTTAGCATGGTCATATGCATGTTTGTACTGCTCCTTGTCTTCCTTTTGACCATACTTCTTCTACCTTTTAGACTGTGATGTACTTGATCATGTGTAGTGTGTCCTAGGGGGATATCTCCAGCCCGCATATGCTGTTTCACGGTATGGAGGATAGACAAAAGAGGAAGGGGTAGTTGCAGAGGTTGTTGAGATGAGCACTAAGTTCAGGCTTGCTAGATTTTTCATCAAGGTCTTGAAGCAGTTTGTTTTCAAAAGATGAGATTTTGCGCATGTAATCACATGGACTTTGAAGTTAAGGTGCTGGGCAGGTTTCTACAATTCCTGTGCCTAAAAATCCTATCTGGATAGGAAATTATCTCGGATGGAAATGTCAGTGAGGTGAATAAGACAGCAAATGTCTACAGACCCTACTTTATGCATTTCTTAGTATTTTAGATACAGTCACGTTTTCTTGGAGGGGAGAGGGAGTGAAGAAAAAGAATTTGAGATTGGTTCAAAACAATAGAAATGGTTTAAAAAGCATTTAAAATCACTTTCACATACATCACATATAAAACCAGGTGGCTGTGATTAGACAGTTTCATTGTGTGCAAAAGCCAGAGGATGACTGAGTATAACTTGCTTTTTCAGAAGAGCTCTCAGTCAGAATGATCAAACTGTAAAAAAAAGAAGGTATGAGCCACAGCAGAGATCTGAAAAACAGCCAGAGAAACCATCCTGGATTTCATAAAACCCCAAAAGATTATACGACTTCATGTCATGGCTTTGGGAGAATGATAAAATTGAGGTTGATAAATGGCTTGTGTTAATGGTTCTATATTTGGCTTGTGGTTTAGTTTTCAGAATACTTTATTGTAAAACTTTATTATTGCTTGTTCTCAGTATAGGATTTGTTTGTTTTTACTGAGACAGTCTGTATATTTATAGTGCAGCAACTCTCTCCATTCTGCCTTGATAGTTCATGAAGAGGGAGCATGAAAAAAGCATGGATATGTAGCTAAGACAGTATTGCGTTATTTGAATGTTTATCTAAATCTGCTATGGCTCTTCTGTCTCATCTGACAGTAATTTCTGCTTTAGAATCATAGAATAGTTTGGGTTGGAAAGGACCTTAAGATCAGCTAGTTCCAACCTCCCTGCCATGGGCAGGGACACCTCACACTAAACCATGTCACCGAAGGCTCTGTCTGACCTGGACTTGAACACCGCCAGAGATGGAGCATTAACAACTTCCCTGGACAACCTATTCCAGTGCCTCACCACCCTAACAGGAAAGAATTTCCTCCTTATATCCAATCTAAATTTCCTCTGTTTAATTTTTAACCCATTACCCCTTGTCCTATCACTACAGTCCCTAATGAAGAGTCCCTCCCCAGCATCCCTATATCCCCCCTTCAGATACTGGAAGGCTTCTCTGAGGTATCCACACAGCTTTTTCTTCTCCAGGTTGAACAGCCCCAACTTTCTCAGCCTATCTTCGTATGGGATGTGCTCCAGTTCCCTGATCATCCTTGTGGCCCTCCTCTGGACTTGTTCCAACAGTTCCGTGTCCTTTTTATGTTTTCTCAAGCAAATCTGTTTTTGATATGGTTCTACATAGATTCTAAAGATCATGTAGTTCCAACCTCACTGCCATGGGCAGGAATACCTCCCAATAGACCAGACTGCTCAAAGGCCATGTCCAACCTGGCCTTGAACACTGCCAGGGGTGGACCATTCACAGTTTCTTTGGGCAGCCTGTTCCACTGCCTCACCACCCTCACAGTAACGAACTCCTTCCTTATACCTAACCAGAACTTCCCCTGTTTAAATTTGAACTCATTACCCCTTGTCCTATCACTACAGTCCCTAGCGAAGAGGGTCTCTCTGGCCTCCTTGTAGGCCCCCTTCAGATACTGGAAGGCTGTGATGAGGTCTTCACGCAGCCTTCTCTTGTCCAGGCTGAAGAGCCCCCATTTGCTTAGCCTGTCTTTGTATGGGAGGTGCTCAAGCCCCCTTATCCTTGTGGCTGTCCTCTGGACTTGCTGTGTATGCATATGTATATATATATTTAATCTTGGAAGCAGAGTAGGGAGTTCCTGAAACTATTTTCCCTCTTTTTGTTAAAAACAATCCAAACCAGCCTCTAGTCTGGTGGTGTATTTGCCTTGTATGGAGGCATGTAGGCTCTAGTTTTGTTGTGTGCTTCAAAGGATAGCAGTAAAGCTCCTTAATGCTGTAGCCCTACTTTATGATGTGAACCTGAGACACCCCTGTATAGATATAGACAAGATACCAGAGTGTAGTACAACACATTCTCATGGACATGATGTTATGTGAAAGGTTTTGTAACAGCTGATTTACTCCATTCCTGAGACAGTCCTTTAAATCCTTCATTTTTTTTTGTGTCTCTGCAATGGTCTTTCCTCTGTTTATATCAAAGGAGAGCCGTCCTCTCCTCCTTTGCTTTGCTTCTCCCTTTTTGTTCTTTTTTGCTACAACAGAGCAGCCAGGAAGTGAATAGCATTTAGATTTGCTTGTATCTAGGGTGCGCACAGCCAGGAACTGCACACTGGACTACTCAATGACTCCTGCAAAGTTAATTTTTAGAGTTGTATAAATTACGCACATTGGCAAAGAGGTAAGAATTTGGATTCTTTGCTATCACTACTAACATTTTATATCAGTATAAAAGCTTGATTTTAATGGAAGTTTAAATATATGTCGCAAAACTGGTGGAGGGTTACAGATAGAATTGGATGATGTAAAAAATGGCCTCTCCTGCTGTGATCTCAAGAACACTGTAAAAGATTGAATTATACTTGTTTGCTTACTGTTGCTCTGGTAATGTGGTGAGATCCTGACCATATGAAATCAAATGCAGAATTCCTACGTATTTCAACAAGATCAGGATTTAATGTTGGAAATGACCTTAAGATGTTAGGATTTCAGTGTGTGAGGTAGTCATGGAGCTAGTATTAGTTCTTACATAGCCCAGAAATGTCAAAGGTGTTTTCTGTGAATTATGCCTTTATTACACTAGCAAACCAAAACTGCTCTCAGGAGCTAGAATAGTTTTAGTTCAAAGCCATGACAATCAGTTACAGCTAATAAGCTGCCATCCTGGAAAAACCTCCAAAGCCTTCCAGGATGTGCAGAGAAGACTTTCCAGTTTACCTGAGCCATGTTCAGGTGGTATTTCTGTTGTTGTTTTAACATCCCTAAACATATGCTTTTATTGTCTGTATTTTAAAACATCTGTCTTCAAAATCTCTAAATGGCATATCTAACATGCCTGCGTATCTTTGGAAGTAAGAGATACTTTTTTTTTTTCCCCATTTAATTACATTGATTATAATAGAATATTATGAGAGCACATCGTAGGTTAATTAAGTTAATCAAGATTTGGAGTAGATGTTCAGTTTTCTTATTAGTGATATTCAGATTCTTAATGGAAGCACAATGGGGAAGATGTGTCTTCAGTCGAGGGGAAACACTTTTTAGAGAACTTTCAGAAATGCCTTAATGCAGATAGGAAGGACTTTATGAGGCGAGTAAATTTTGGGACAGATGTTCATTTTGCAAAAAGCTGGCCATTCATAAAAGCCCATGTCCCTCACTTTAAAAATAGTAGTAAAATCTCAGTAACCTTTATGTCCCAGCATGCTTGAGCAATAATATTGCAGTTGTAGGAAAGGTTATATAAATGTACTGAAAATTTACTTTCTTCTGGTTATGCAATCCCATCTATTGGGTTGGGAAACACCATCATTTTCTGCCTCTTACTATGATCTGACCTACTGCTTTATATGACATAAGGCTGCGAGAGTAAGAGGTCTGTGCCTAATAAGGTTCCTCTCCAAATATACTCTGATAGCTATTAGCTGCATTTTGGGGAAAACCTGTTAAGTTTTTTCATCTACTCAGTAATATGCCTTGACCCAGAAAAAGCTTTTGTCCAGGTTCAAATGTGAAAAGAAGACTCTGAGCGTGTGCATTTCCATTGCCACAGAGTCACTGGGGGCTAAACGGTTGGGCTGAGGTCTTCATTGTCTCTGCCATAGGTCAGAGTTTCAGCAGCTGCCAAGGCGTATTTGGGCTTGCTGCAAGTACAGGTGTTTATGAGTTATTAGGCTTAAAGTGCCTTACTGTATGAAATAGGATGAGAACAGCCAGTTGCTTAGGCAGTGTAAAGCCTGTTGCATTCCTGTGCTGGATACTTTGTACCATTAATGTAACTGAAAAGTTAGTGTTAAATTTGTAGTGCCTTTCTGAGCTGTTTTAAATGCAGACTTGTACACTTCAACTTTATACAACGGTATCTAGAAGTTATGTACTCAAATCATAATGGCCTTGCTATAGAACTCCAGGTATAAGAATGTGACCATGAGGGTTTTACTCTTGCCTCTGCCAGGGGCAGTCTGTGACTTCAGAGAGCTTTCCTGACCCTGCCTTCCCAGAAATACATAAGCACCTTGGTCCCATCACTTGTTACTTTCATCCTCTTGAAGAATATTACTTTTAGTGTCTTTTCCTTCAGTTTGCTTATCTGCAAAATGGGGATATTGCTATAGGTGGTTTAACACTCATAAATACACGAGGAATTTCTCAGATACTTGAATGAAAGGTGCTATGCAAAATCAAATCTGTATTATATATATCCTGAGTGAAGAGCTCTGAGAATGTTGATTTCCGAGCAGACACTAATGGCAGAAGGAATCTTAATGTACCAAAATGTCTTGGAAGTTAAAATACTGAAGTGGAAAATAAAATAACAATTGAAATTGGAAACATTTCTAACAGTGAGAAGAACTAATTCTTAAAGTACACTCCAAACGCTGAGCTGGCTTTCTAAAATTCAAGGCTGTCATTCTGAAATATCTAACTTCAGGAGTTACAGGTATGATATGAAAATCAGAGGTGAATTTCCTTGTTAATGTATACAGTGTGCAGATGACAATCATCTTTTCTGTCCTAAAATATTCATGCATATATATATATTTTGGTGGAACAGTTATATGCTTGTGGCTAAGTACTGCTTTTCTCTAGAGGGATTTAAATTCCATCAAAGCTATTACTTTGAAATGTATAATGTAAGCTCGTTATTTAGACAAACATAATGGCCTAGATGTTTATTTTAGGCAACTCTCTCCAGATGTATTGATAAATACATGTTGGAGAAGTTGGATGTGGTTCTCCAGCATACAACTCCTTGGATAAAGTTTAGAATGCACATGCTCAGTGTAGTGAATGGAACAAACATGTCTACTTAGATGTAAAATTCTGCAGATGGGCCATGGCTTTAATGCATTATTTGTGTGGCAAAAGTAGGGTGGGTATTGGTAAGTCTGCCTAATGAAATTTAGTACTTTGTAATGATGCCTGAGCTAATGGGGGCAACAGACATTGCATGGCTATTACATGTCTGCTCCATTATATGTCTCCATATATGTCTCCTGTTATGGAGATGGCTCCATATAGGACTGGGTAATCTATACAAACCTTGTGAGTTCAGGAGCAGTTGTCACCCTACAAGTTGTAAAGAGCAAGCTTTAATGTACAGTACTGTATGCAAGCAATTCGGTAATATTCTGAACGGGCTGAACGCAGTCTTGAATTGTGTGGCTTATATAGCACGACTAGATCATCTCAGCACTTCCTGAACTGTTTCTATGTTGAAATAACAGTCTTTTGCCTTCCTTTGCTGTTTTGTAGGAAAATAAATATGAATTGCATACCTGATCTAACTTTGGAGTTAGTGGTGGTGATCTCTTCCAGCCTGAATTATTCTATACTTCTGTGATTTAAGAGTGGGTTTGCTTTATATGCATATGAGTC